AGGATGAGGCGAGAGGGAGTGTGCCGACTCCTACTGCCAAAAAATCCCCGTAATACAGATATTAATTGTATTTTTATGATTTATGCTTAAATCATAAATTTAATTTTTAGGTAGTAGGTACAACATAAGCTCGGCTAGCGCAGTATGTACCGCGGCCTCGGCCTAAAGCAAGCGAAGGAATAGGGGGAATTTTTGGTCAGTAAGGCCTCAACTAGCGTGAAAGAAATCACAAAGGTATAAAATATAATCAATGAGTTTGAAGGTCATTTTCGGAACTCCTTGTACGTAGTAGGTAGTATCCAAGGATGAACTAATTAGTTACCTACTCATTATTTATGCATTACCACGAGTGTGGAAAATGTATAGATAATATTCTGTCCCACTTACATAATGTATAAAGCGTACGCCCTAATCCTCGACGGAGATTTGTCTCCGATGTTAGGGAAATCCGTGTAATCTCCAGTAAACTGTTCATTTCACACTTTAGGTATTAGTGTGATTGTTTGTTTTTTTTTTAACCATTTTTTTATTTTGTCTCGTTGATGTAGGTATTGGTGAGATTTCGCGTACGCAAGAGCCTGATAATCCCTTTCGTCACTACCTAAGTAGAGTCCGAACATTTGATTATATAATTTAAAAGTATTTCTTTCTCAGATCAGTGAATTATCTCTTCTCAGTATATTTTACAGTTACTAATTTTAGTTACTAAACAGCATTATTTTGTTAAAATTACAACCAGTATCGTAGCTTGGTATAAAAAATAACTCAACGAATATAACGTTACGTTGGAAAGAGTCTACAATCAGCATTTTTTTACCCTGAGTAGGTACTCGAAGCAGCCAAGATTAATTGTTCCCGAACCGGCGAACGACAAGCTACCTACCACGCAATTTTGTGCGTCGCAGTTTGCAGAAAGCCTACCAAATTGCCTGAAGACATCAATCATGAAGCCCTGCGCCCTACCTACCTAGTTACCTATAGCTACACATTTTTGCGACGAAATTTTTCGAAGGATACATACCTAACCCGCGAAATTAGTTTGATGAAATCAGTGACGTATTCCAAATTGAAATAAGTTTCGCACGTTTTTACCATAGACAATTAGATATTTTTTTTTTGTTTGTATTATCTACCTACCTTTTTTTATAATAAAAATTGCCTTAGATACATATGAAACGTATTTGTAAAAGCTTTACTATAAAGTATAACTAATGACTAAACAAGATAAACATCTTTGGGCAAACAATTTATTATTTATCTAAACCAATATAAAGTTAAGTTAATAAATATTTCACGGCATATACTCCGACCACTTACCTAAATATGAGAAACTCTTAAATTATTATTACGGGTATCGTATCCTTACATTTTCCTTGGGATTCCATTGGTAGATACTCAAAATAAGATTATGTTATCGTAAGCGAAATGTAATTTACCCCAAAATTATAGCATAACACGGTATTTTACCGGCTTTTCCTTGGTCGAGTAGACTGTTTTGGATGGAAGATTTTTTTTTTTGGTGAGGGGAATATCATCAATCAAATGAATTTTCTCGCCTTGGATGAGGCGAGAGGCAGTGTCAGACTCTTACTGACTAAAATTCCCCAGTTCTCCAGATCTAGGCTAAGTGAGCCGCAGTGCCTTATAGCGCTTGCCCCGCAACCCTGGCTGGATGGAAAACGGCTACAACCAGTATTTCTCTGACAAATTCATAAGCTCCGTGAGGGAGAGCTGCGGTAATGTTTATGAGTAAGTTCATAATTTATTATAAAAAGGGGTACAGCAGCTGAAAATAAAGGGCAGGCTATTATCTACATGATATAAGTTTGTGCTTATAGGTACATAAAATATCGTGTAAGTAGGTCTAATATGCTAACATGGCTTTTTAGGTTTTATTTTTTTTTAAAGCACGGTAGGTTCTCATACGTATACGTTCATAAGTTAATGTTGTTTGAACTTTTCAATAATTACTTAATTGATCTACGATATATAACTATAAGTAGGTAGTATCCTCCTATATTTAATACTCTTTTAAAAATGTCAAAGTGAACATTTTCTATTTTTCTTTGCGTTTTGTTTTCTACTTTTTTTACCTACAACAAATAGCATACAATACAAGAATGTCATTTGAATTAGGTATCAAAAATATTCGAGTACTAAATATAGAAGTCATTTTGAATTTTTCCCTCATTCAAAACCAAGAAATTCGGTAGCGACTTAGCAAGTCTTATCGGATTACAACAACAAATACGATAATTTTACCTACGGTAGGTACAGATTTTTCATCTTCCATGGACTAACATGGAAAAAACGGACGTATTTAAAAAAATTAGACTACATTAATAAAGTACTTATGTAGGTATGTCATGTCAAAAGTACAAAATGAAACTCTGAATTGGTTGACCAGGTTGCAATAATTTGACTAAGTACAAAAATAATTGGGTTTAAATTAAGTAAATAATTCAGATGCTTAAATGATTCAGGTTTATCAAAGACCGTTGCTGGTTGGACTATATGAAAGTTAATAAGCTGTCTATATTTCAGTAGAGATGTGAACAGTGAAGAGATATTCTCTTCTGCGAGTACCAACAATAACCATGGATGGATGGATGTATTAAATACGAACAAGCTCGGATTACCAAATGATAAGCAATCGGCGTCTCCCATGGACTCCCGTAACGCAATAGATGTTACAAGTGCGTTGCCGGCTTTTTTGTCGTTGTACTCATCAAAACACATCTAATAATTTGAATAAATTAAAGGTTTTTAGTCGATTATTATCCTGTTCATGCTTTTGTATTTAACAATCGAATCGAAAATCTTTTCCAATACGATTTATATAATTCGTGCAAAAAGGTTAAATATAAGGCTTGTGATCTATACCTTACAGGTACTGTCTGTGGCATAGACAATACATTCCCGGTTAGTTTATAAGTAAGAAGGTTTTGTCACGTTTTTGCCACGTTGGAAGAGGGCACGAATGAAAAAATCTTAGTAAAATAAAAACATAATTAAAATTGTATAGTAAGTTCTCAGTCCACACATCACTAATGATTTTTTTTTAATGTTTATTTTTTAATACAAACTAAGAAACGGAACATTTCAGTTACTCTGTCCCTATTGAAATCTTTCCTATGTATAAAGCATTGAGAACACCAAGCGAGAGTAATGGGAGATAAATACGTACTCAAACACAAAAGCCCCGGTTATATGGGCAGCCATACTATGTAGATACGTATAGCTAGGTATGATAATAAAACATTGATTGGATACTTTCACGGTCACCACAGAGTGACGAAGCGAATAGGCACAATCTATTTTCTGCAAATAAACTCGTTACATAGGTTCTTCATTACCTATATATTTTTATCTAGGTACTTAATTTTTTAATGTTTAAGAACTGGTTACATGTGAAAAATGCGTGTTTTTTTATTGCTAGGTACGTGTAGTTTTAACGTTGTAGGTTTAACGTTTTTAGATGCCCTATAGAAACCTTAGGATAATAATTGAAAGCGGTAATATTTTTTGGTTGTAGGTACTGTATATTTTTATCAAAATTTATAGATAATATTTATAAAAAATAAAAACATTTCCTAAACACTACGTCTGACTTCCAATTTATTAATAAGTAGCTACAAAAATCCCCAAAAAATTCCAAACCCGCCCTTATCTCCACCAACCATAAAAACAAAATTGCAAACAGCACTCACATGGCCGACATTCGCCTACGCACTCATGTTATCGTTGTAACTAACGTCAAAACTACGATACACATTAATTAAAACCAAACTAAAATATTTACGAACCCAAAAACAAGACTTAACAACACAAAATTATTAATGAAACACAAAAATAATTACAAACTAATTAAAACACACGTATTTGTTTAAGTTTTCGTGAAAAATCTGCGAATAACATACCTACCTTTATTTTGGGCGGCCATTGTAGTTTTCTGCCCACGGGGAGTGGCGCATTATTTTCCTTCAAAACTCTCACATTTCACAATGTTATTTATTATTCGTATTATCACGTCTGTGAGCGTCACTTGTTTATGGAACGTGTTTACAATACAAGTGATGGTTGGGAATGGCTTGTTTGGTGGAAAAATCGATGCGACGCCGCGCGCAGTGAGCCGCTACACACGAATGATAAGGAGTAAGAGCCGCGCCAGCAACAGCTTCGTAACTATCCTATCAACATACCTACAGGTTTTATAGCTATATACCTATACCTACCTACTGCCTCGAAGTTTCGCTATGTTTTACCAGCTGATTTCAGAGATATGAGGACTGTTACGTGTCATTATCGTGAAATTGGGGGTATTAAGTCAATTTCAGTGAATTAATGTTCTTTCTGTAGGCGGCCTGTTTGTTAGGTCTCTCATTGTACAAGAGGTAGGTACTTGGAAATACAATTACCCATAGATATACGCAATCTTATTGATAATCCGCTAATTAGGTTGAATTGAGTCAAGAAAATACTACTTATAGAAAAAATCAAATCAACAAATTGTTCGATGTGAGCTACAGTTGGCTCATTTCAAGTCATATTTTATGTCATTTATATAAATGTACCAACTGTTGAGTCGAAACAGAATTTTAATGCTTTTTATTTTTGGCGCTTTTATATCAAAAATATTGCCATACTTTGATGTGTTTTTTTTAATCAGAAGTAAAACCAATTTAGAATCTTACTGATTGGTGTTATTTAAAATGTTATTGCAATACCTACTGCACTTCAAATAAAAATTGTATATAAAAAATATGTTGCGTAAAATGCGTGTAGGCCATACACGCATTTTACATTTAGAATTAACTTAACTAAAAAAATATATTCGGATAAAAGGATAAAATTATAATTCCAATTCGGGTTTTATTGCATATTATTTGTGTCTTTTTAACAATTTTAAAGAAAATTACCTCTCCTTTTTTGTTTTTGAACGAAACTAACTTTGGAAACATAAATTTTGACAATAGCAAAACTGTGACAGTGACAGGTGACAGATGACAATATAATAAAAACAAAGTGCAGAGTTCTACCCGTGAAGAAAAATAAATAAGAAAAATATACCAAAATGCGTGAAACCAAAATGAGTACGCATTTATCTGGTGGTCGACTAAACGTTGCTTTAGTCCAAGAACGGATGCGTAATGAATTACTGAATCTATTAGAGCCTTACAAGGGTCCAAAAGTGAGTATGAAACATGTACATTATCAATCAATAATAATACTTTTATTGATTGATAGTGTTTTCCTCGTGATAAAACTATTACAATGTTGTTAATCAAGGGCATTGACTCTGTTTAATGATTAGTTTTGTGCATGGTATTAGTTAGCTCTATCCGATTTTTTGATAGAAATTAATATTCATATTTTTATATACATTTTTTTTAATACAACTCAAGTTTTCGACTAAGCTGCACTTCTGTCAAGAATAATGACATTAAAATTCGATCATGTATCGCAAAAATGATACCTAAAGCCTTTTTTCGTGAGCTGAATGATAGCAATATTGTTAATAAAAATCATAATCCCAAGTATACAAAACACAGAAGCTACTAAATTTATGTATGCACAGCGAACATAATAATATTATGTCAAATAGGAATATTTAAGTTCTCACTGCAATACTCAGAGGCATTAAATTATGACTTCAATTATACATCAGTAAAGATTCAGTTCAGAAAACAATTGCTAAAGACTGGATTATAAGTAACTATTAAATATTCTTGATTGTGACTAGTAAATCTTAAACAGTAAGGTCTATTTTTGTGAAGCTACATAAATTAATAAACCTAGCTCGGGCGGTCCCTGTATTTTCTGTATTTGTAAACTAGAACTGTTTTTATTTTATTGTCATCTGTATGTATTAACTTAGATTAATGAAGCTTTTCTGAATTGTTATAAAGACTTTTTTACCTCAACATTTGACTCATTTTTAATTACATATTCATGTGCACCATGTTTTTAATAAATTTTACTTCTTTATTTAATTATTCTCATTGTTTTTCTACTAGGTAACAATATGGGATGAATGGTTAGCTGGTCCCGTGCTGTTAGTTGCCCAATACTCCCTGCTAAAGGACCATGGAGTCACAGAAATGTTTCCCCTGAAACCCGGCAATCTGCCAAACATCTCAGTGAAACACATAGTGTTCATAACAAGACCTAAGCTACATCTAATGGACTTAGTAGCTAACTATATACAATCACTTAGGTAAGTTCATATAACATTTACTTTTTTATAATAAATATTACAATATTACATAAAAATAAAATTAAACCAATATTTGACCTGGCAGGTCAATGAATCAATAAGTTCAGTGATTTAATACTTTAGAAACACTTTTTATATGTCTTTAATATATTGGTGGTACCTATATATACAGTACAGAGCTGGACAGGAAAGGGGAGTGTCAGACTTTTATTGACTAAAAGCCCCCATTCCTGTTTCTTATATGATCAACAGATCAAAACAGACCACACCGCTGGAGTTCCACCTGTTCTTTGTGCCGCGAAAAAGTGAACTCTGTAAGAAGCACCTGACCAACCTTGGAGTGGTCTCCAACCTGACCATCCACGAGTTCAAGTGTGACATCTTCCCATTTGAGAGTGATGTTATGTCACTTGAACTTCAGAATGACTTTCGGTGAGAATCTTATTTACCTATATTAATTTGTTAGGACAGATCATTGTTGAGAAGTTGTCTTTGGTATTATTGTGTACATGTTAAACTCATAATTGGTACTTGGGTTAGTTTAAAATTGGAACCGTTTGTCTTGGTATGGCCATGTGATGGCCATGTGATGTGGCCAAGGAGGGATGAAAAGCATGTTACAAAAAAAGCCATGAGTATAAATGTGGATGGATGGAGACGGAGAGGGAGACCAAAGAAAATATGGATGGATTGTGTGAGAAGTGATATGGAAGACAGAGGAGTTAGCGATAGCGTGACGGGAGACAGGACAGAATGGAAGAAAAAAAACATATTGCGCCGACCCCAAATAAAACGGGACAAGGGTAAGAAGATGATGATGGGTTAGTTTAAAATTTTGACTATTCAATGTTTGACTAATCAAAATTTTATTTCATTGAATTTATTATGCTGAGTATGAATATATGAATAGAAAATTGGCGTAAAACAGCGCTTGCATTATTATTATTTGTGTGAAGTGTGAGCTTTCCGGAGGCCCTAAATGACGCATTCCTCAAATCTCTAACCACCCCAAAAAGCCGGCAACGCCGGGTCGTTTTTGTTGTATCAGAGATTCATCTAGCCGGCTGCCGGCTACATCTAATTATTTACATATTACTATCGGACCCTCCCCGAAAATGCCACATATCAAATTTCAGCGTAATCGTTAGGGCCGTTTCCGAGATAACATGCTTTTTCAAGCAATCAGCGCCATCTGCCGGGCTGATTTGCGAATCTGAACCATGTAGGGCGCCACTCAAACGCATACATAAAAATTCATTTAGATAAATCGGTCAAGCCGTTTATCTGGAGTCCAATGACATACATACGCACAGCAGAATTATATATACATATAAAGATTTGATGTGTAAAAGTCCAGTTTTAAGGCCTATTTGCTAAAATTTATTTTTTCATTATTTCAGAGAGAACTATCTAGAGGGCGACCCGACTTGCGTGTATAACGCTGCGCAGGCGCTGCGCACCATACAACAGATGTACGGGATCATACCAAGAGTTTTCGGGAAAGGAGTCGCTGCTAAACAGGTGATGATAGTAAAATTATGATCCATCAATTGAAACAACTGAATTCGTTCTTAGTTTTTTTGTTTTCGAAATAATAGTTGGAAGAGTACAGTTTTTATCTATAGATCTTGTCTTGGGCAAAAGCTATTTCATATACTTATGTAAACCATTAATAAAGACTTCCTAGTGGTATCTGCAAGGTAAATTAATATTGGCTGGATGCAAAAAGCCGAAAATCCAGCTTAGTGACGTGGTTTTGATTATGACTGTCTGACCGTGTAAATGAGGTTGCTGCTGCTGGAAGAGCAATCCTTTCCCAATCACATACTCATTCCTAAAATCCCAAATAGCCCACAAGAGGCCGGCAACGCACTTGTAGTAGCTCAAGAAGTAACTTTTTTGTTTTTTTTTTTAAGAAACTTTGCCCTTCATTAGGATTTTCTCCTGTGTCGTGGGTGCGGTTACAAACATACAATTTCACATGCACATGACACCCAGACCCGGAACAACAATTTGTGGATCACACAAAGAGTTGTTCCATACGGGAATCGAACCCGCGACACGTTGCACGGCAGCCAGTAAAGTTGCCCAGCCACCGCACCAACCGTGCAGTTAAACTTTGATATTACGAGTGTCCACGGGCGTCGCTGATTGCTTACCATCAGGTAATACGTCTGTCCGTTTGCGACTTATGACATAAAAGGTGGTTTTTAATTAGTAAAAGTCTGACATTCCATCTCGCACCACCCAGGTCTGAATAAACAGTTGGAAGATTTTGCACCGAAAAAAACTTATAACAGCATCATCATAATCATTATAACAGCATCATCATAATCATTATAACAGCACCAGGACATCGATTTCTGAACATACATCTTCTCTAATGCCTTCAGACCGATAGTTGGGGTACACGTATTCTAGAGTGGAGACCACGTCTAGACAAACGTAGTGTAGGTCGCCCTCCAGCTAAGTGAACTGACGATATCCGCAGGGTGGCTGGCAGTGGTTGGATGATAAGGGCTGAACATCGAGTAGGTATCATAGCAAGAATAGCGTGCAAATGGGTAGGCCTATGTCCAGCAGCTGACAAAATCAGGATGATGATAAATGATTTATATCAGCCAATTTGAAGTATCGTAGATCTAGTGACTTTCTGATTTAGAATTAAAATGTAGGCTAATATAATATAATATGGCAAACTGAAGAGTTTGTTTGTTTGTTTAAACGCGCTCATCTCCGGAACTGCTGGTCCGAATTGAATAGTTCTTTTTGTGTTCGTAAGTCAATTTATATATGTTACGATCTGTAGGAGCCGAGCAGCGGGTGAAACCGCACGAGATTAGCTAGTTTTCTATAAGAAACGATGATAAATCTTCTATGCAGGTATGGGACCTCCTCTGTCGGCTGAACAAGGAGGAGCAAGGGCTCGGTCCTCGCGGCGCGGCGACCTCCTGCATCGACCAGCTTCTGCTACTCGACCGGGCGGTAGACTTCACCAGCGTGATGGCCACCCAACTCACCTATGAAGGACTTATTGGTAATTAAGTACCTATTATAAATATTATCCTACTAAGACGATTAACGTGAAAGTTTGTAAATATGGATGGATATTGGTTATACTGAGTAACTAAGTATGGAAGAGCCATGCTTCGACACGAATGGGTCGGCTCGACCGGAGTGATACCACGGCCTCACAGAAAACTGGCGTGAAGTAACTACACCGTTGTATTTCGCCGTGTGAGTGAGGTTACCTGAGGCCCAATCCTTCCCCTTCCCCGACCCTTCCCCAATCCCAAAATATCCAAATCCCTAATCCCTAAAAGGACGGCAACGCACTCGTAACTCTTCCGTTGCGGGTGATCATGGGCGGCGCTGATTGCTTACCATCACGTTATCCGTCTGCTCGTTTGCAGACTTATTACATAAAAAAATACTGTGAGGGCTGATTTTTGAATGGTAAGATAAAAGTTATCTGGGAAATAATTTTGATGCTGTCGCGTTACAATTTTTATATATGACAGTGACAGCAACAATTTTATTCCACAGATAACATTTATCTGACTATTGAAAAATCAGCCCTAATTAATTTAAAATAACGCCTTACTTACGTCAATTAACTGAGAAAACCTCTACTAGTACCAGTACCAGTAGGCTGCGCGACGTTCCAAAATGAAAAAGACTCCCGTTCTCACTTGAAATTGGTAGAATTAAGTCGTTATTTACAATAAACTTAGTATGACACACTAGGTACCTACTATTTAAAAAATGACATAATAAACGCGAAAGTTGAAAAGAAGAGAGCAGATTTACTTGACGGTAAACAATCGTTACCCCCGCAAACCCAGAATCTTTTGAGGATTATGGTTTGGTAATTAAGGGGATTGAAGCGAAACACAAAGACTCACACTGCGAAACAACGCTATGGTAGTTTTTTGGTGGTTTTCTATAAGGCCGTGGTGTCACTCCGATCGAGCTGACCCATCCGTGCCGAAGCTTGGCTCTGCCACACTTAGAATTATTTATAACATCAAATAATGCCATTAAAATTCTGTCTCCCTATTTCAGATGAAATCTACGGTATAAAGAGTTCGACAGCGACATTCCCGGGACATAAGTTTGTGAGTCCGGACGATGCGAACCCAGAGGCGACCGCCCGGGAAAAGAAACGTATCGTACTCAACTCTAGCGAGGAACTCTTTGCTGAGATCAGAGATTGCAGCTTTACTTCTGTAAGTTTTTTTTTAAGTCTTTTAATGACGTATAGAGAATAGTCAAAGAACAATTATTATTATTATTATCGAAATGACACCACAGATTAAAGCAGATCAAACCAGCGGAAGAGATTTTTTTTTTAAAAAAAAAACGTCCCATTTTTGTCTTTTGTGGTAGGCGTTTATATATTATAAACATATTTGTAGAGTTGTTACCTACGGGAATCGGGCATTTGCGGGCAGTTGAGTGCCCCGTCGCTAGTCCGATTATCAAAACAATTCTGTGTGATCCAGAAATTGTTGTTTCGAATCTGGGTGATTTGGCAATGTGAAGTTACACAGGCGGAAATCAAAACATACATGGTAATGTTTTAAAAAATATGTCCAATCGAACTAGAATGAATTTCTTCAAAATCAAAAATCAAAATGGCTTTTATGTGTTAACATAGGTAGGTATACAGGTCTTATATTTGGTTCACAGAGCGCCATGTTATACTATATGCTTCCTTAACAGGTTGGAGCAGCACTATCAAAGAAAGCCCGAGTAATAAAGACACAATTGGACGAGCGGCACAAGGATAAATCAGTTCAGGAAATCAAGCAGTTCGTTTCCCGACTGCCGCAGATGTTGGCCAACAAACAATCCCTGGCCACGCATACTGGCATCGCCGAGTATATTAAAGAGGTAAGGAAATATTATAAACTAGCGGCCCGCCCCCGCTTCGCACGGGTCCAACTATCTTGCTATCAAAAGGTCACTTTTTCCTAATCTTCCCCTCTACTTTTCTAATATTTTCTTTCATAAGAACCTTCTCCTGACAATAACAAGCACAACAAAAAAAGATTTAGCAAAATTGGTCCAGGCGTTGTTGAGTTATGCGCTTACCAACACATTTTGCGATCCATTTTTATATATAAGATGATCAAATACGTCGTGGTAGCCCACAGGTTAGATAGTCCGCTTCTCGTGCATGAGAGTACGAGTTCGAAACCTTTTTTTTTATGCAATACTTAGGTCGGCAAACGAGCCTAGGATTACCTGATGGTAAGCAATCAGCGCCGCCCATGGACACCCGCAACGGAGGAGTTACCAGTGCGTTGCCGACATTTTAGGGATTAGGGATTGGGGGCGGGGAAGGATTGGGTCTCCGGTAACCTCACCCACACGGCGAAACCCGACGCTGTGGTTGTTTCACGCCGGTCTTCTTTGATGCCGTGGTATCACTGCGGTCGAGCTGACCCATTCGTGCCGAAGCATGGCTCTCCCACACTTAAACCTGGTATCAACAGGACTTTTTTCGTGTTACATGTACTATAACAGAACAATCATTGTACTTAATTTTAAAAGGTAGTATTGATCTATCCTATTTTATATTTTAAACGGGAAAGTTTGTCAATATAGATGCATAGATGTTTGTTGCGCTTTCACACGTAAAAGTTACTGAACGGATCTGAATGAAGTTTGACATAGGTATAGATTATAGTCTGTGTCTGCGTTTGAAAATGCTTGTAGAAATTCGTCCATCTTACTTCTTAATAATATTATACATGCAAAAGTAACAATGTTTAGATCTTTGTCACGCAATAACGCCAAAACGGCTGGACGGATCTGGATGAAATTTGAACATAGACTACTTTTTACCAATATACCACGCGGGTGTAGTCGCGAGCGGATTCGGCCTCCGAAAATCTTACTCACACGGCGAAACACAGCATTGTGGTTGCTTCACGCCGGTTTTCTGTGAGGCCGTGGTATCACTCCGGTTGAGCCGACCCATTCGTGCCGAAGCTTGGCTGTTCTACACTTAACGTAAATTTATTATAATATTTTTTTTATTACAGACAACAGACACATTTGAGTTCCACGACATGGTGCAGTGTGAAGAAGACTTCCTGAACTGCGTGGACAACGAGAAGACGTGCCCTTACATCGAAGACCTTATTGCACAGAAGGAACCCCTCACCAAGGTATAGTGGCACTATATTATTATAACACTGTTCTTCACGCGAGTACAAACTGTAGGAAGTAGATTATTAGTTTATTTTGTTATCGCCAGCATTATGTTACCAAAGATCAAATACATTGGATTTGGATTTAAGGATTGCCCCAAATCTCCAATCCTTCTAAAACGCTAGCACCGTACTCGTAACTCCTTAGCTGTTTCAGATGTCGAAGGATGGCGCTGATTGCTTAGTTTATTTTTTTATGTAATAGGTCGACAAACGAGCATACGGATTACCTGATGGTAAGCCATCAGCACCGCACGTGAAGACCCAAAGCGGAGAAGTTACAAGTGCGTTGCCGACCTTTTGAGGATTAGGGGTTTGGGATTGGGGATAGAAGGGATTACATAGAATTTTATGATATAAAACACTTTATTAATATTCTGTAAATAACAAAACTTTTTTTTTTATTTTTTTCACAGGTGCTTCGTCTTATCTGCTTGCAATGTGTAACTGGATCAGGATTAAAGCCGAAAGTGCTGGAATACTACAAACGCGAGCTGGTCCAAGTGTACGGGCTCAACACTTGGCTAACTCTCTGTAACCTGGAGAAATGTGGCTTACTGCGACCTCAACAGGGAACCAGGCAATATGCGGTGTTGCGGAAGGTCAGAAATATGCTTGGCTACCTATTATTTCAGATAATGTTTATGTAGTATTATAGTGACATTTTTCAGAGATGGCCGACTAATTTCGAGCCTTATCGGAGCCCTTAAACGCACATTGTAATGTGCTCGTCACATACAAGTGCATTGCATTGCGCGTTTATCTACACAGTCTAGATTTTAGAAAATATTTCTAAGAGCTGTAGTCCAGCTAAGTGATAGTAGGAGTGGGCAGAAAAGGGCTGATCATCATTATCATAACCATCAGCCTGATTCCGCCCATTGCTGGATAGAGGCCTCTCCACTTCCACGTATCTGAGCTCGATGTTCAGCTCTTCTCATCCAACCACTTTCAGTCACCCCAAGGATATCGTTATGGGCTTATAATAAATTTTAAAAAGAATTATAATTAAATAAATTGTGGGAGAGCCAAGCTTCGGCACGAATGGGTCGGTACCACGGCCTCACAGAATACCGACGTGAAACAACTACAGCGTTGTGTTTCGCTGTGTGAGTGAGGTTACCGGAGGCCCAATCTTTCCCCTCCCCCGATCCCTCCCAATCCCTAAATCTCCAAAACCCTAATCCCTAAAAGGTCGGCAACGCACTCGTAACTCCTACGTTGCGGGTGTCCATGGGCGGCGCCGATTACTTACTCTCGTCTGCTCGTTTGCCGACATATTCCATAAAAAACATATTTTTTTTATATCTCAGAAATTGCTGTCTTTGTAACCATATTAATTTAAATTTAATTCCACAGACGCTTCACCTTACAATGGATGAAAATGAGATGAACGCCAAAGAGAAGAGCTACCTCTGCAACAAATACACTCCGCTCACAGTACGCCTCAGCGAACACATCGCCAAGAACAAAGGCTGGACAGGTAACTTTGAATTATCTATCATCATCATCATCATCATCAGCCTATAAATGCCCACTGCTAAGCAAAGGCCTCTTCTCATACGGAGAAGGTTAGAGCATTAATCACCACGCTTGCTCAATGCGGGTTGGCGATTTCAAACTTATAATTAGAAATTATAAGTCCAGGTTTCCTCACGATGTTTACCTTCACCGTATGTCAGTGGTGTCTAAATAATCATAGAAAGCACATATAACTCGGAAAAAGTCACATTGGTACTTGCCAGGTTTCGAAGCCGCACCCTCATACATGAGAAGCGGGCGCCTTAACCTCCGGGCCACCACGTCATTAATTATCTATACTCTATACTAATATTATAAAGAGGTAAAATTTGTAAGTTTGTATGTAGGGGGTAAACTTTGGAACCGCTGGTCGGATTGCCAAAAATCTTTCACTGATAGATAGCTACAATGTTCCTGAGTGCTATAGGCTATAAAACATCACGCTACGATCAAATGGAGCTGAGCAGCGGGTGAAACCGCGCGAGAGTAGCTAGTCTTTTATGACTTCTCTCAGCGACTTAACCTACAATACCGCCGACGTATCTTGGCGAGTCTGAAGTTAGCCGATTACCTGCGCAGTACACAATTTTGTTCCTAAAAGTTCCATTGCGCAGACAAACGGCTAACTTCTGACTCGCCAAGATACGGCGGCCGTACTGTATGTTACATCATTATTATTTTTTCGCTTGCATCCGCAACCGGACATCGGCTCTATTAGGCCCCATCTGAACCCTCTCTGTATGAGAGCCTTTACTCAGCAGTGGGCTCTTACAGACTAAATGATATGAGTCTATCTGTGTTGGTCCGATGGCTCTTTGAGTCGGGTCTTGTTGTAATCGGATGGCAAGCTACCATTTATCGGCATCCGCAAAGACGACGGCTGGAGTTCGCCGCGCAATCCCCGTGGATTCAGAGTGTCTCCTAGGCGGCTGGGATGTGAGCAGGATACTGCCCTCGCGCCCTCCGCTTCCTTCTTCGCGAAAAACCCTGCTTCGCAGGAGAGTGACACGGTTTCCCAATTCCTCTTGCTTCGCACCATAGTCTCGACTAAGACTGGGAGTGAGAGGGTGTTGCTAGGCCTAAGCCTATGTGTTATTCCAGATTATAATCTATCTCTGTACTCTATACCAATTAACATCTACATAGTTACCACACTAAGCAACTAATGCGTGCAGGACACTGCCAAGTCTATTGGAAGAAGATAATGATGATGATTGTACAGGATCTGAATTTCTGATTGAATTTGTTTCTGCAGATATTGAAACTGACGAAAACGTAAAGCGAATAGTTTTTGTAGATTTCTGGCTATCCTTTCAGACTCTTTACGGCATAATATTACAATTAATTACTCAAAAGTCTAATAACAAAAGCCAAAACAACTCATATCTATCGTGATGTATCGAATGAGTCATTTCTAGGTACTTAATTATAAAAATGATTTATCAGTCAAACAGCAAAACAATACGTGCTCACATACCTACATACATAAATGCTAATGTACATTATAAATGTGCTAATAAATTAACACTAAACAACGCCCCAATTACGCCCGTAGCTGACCTAATCAAACTTCCTCGTTCCGCCATTTATATTCGTACAAAAGCGCGCGAAACATTATCTTGTGATAAATGTAGACACCCGCACGTCAAATTACACCAATATGTCAAATTACTTCAAAGGATATTGACCTGAATTGTTATGTTATAAAAGATGGAAATTCGTTGAAAATTAAATTTTATTGTGCTATCTGTGCACGATTGCTCGTAGCGGATTCTATCACATCGCATGATGTACGAATATAATTCCACATTTAAAATCGATTTTTAGATTTATGTTGTTTATGCTATTTTAACATTCAATTTTAGTAATTACCTTACTGTGTTGTGTGTCATGTCTCTTTCAGCCATATTTTATTTACTGAAAGAAATCGATAATTTTTCTATGCTGAATCGGTGCTATTTTTTTTAAATGTTCATATTAAGCTTCCAATTTTCTTAATAGTTCTGTGGTACATATATGCATGCTGTGCAGTAGGTAGGTATGCACAGTTATCAGTAACATTTAAAGCGCGCTAAATAAAAATAAATCAGTCAATGACCTTTGACAACGCAGACTATGCAGTGTGACATACTGCACCACGTTATATATCTACAAATCTATTCTCAATGTTATTTGCGTTAGTCATCTACCAATTAAGCTAGGCTAGTCTTACAGTACCTAACTACCTATCCAAAAATAAAATTAGATCATGAGGTTCTCAATGTGATAGTTATATTGGATTTCTTTTTTTTTTCGGTAAACGCAATCTGATATGGACTCACTCTCTCTTCTATACAGATAACTGGTGTTAATATCATTAATTGCATAGGATGTAAGTGTAGGAGAGCCAAGCTTCGGCATGAATGGTCCGGTACGACCAGATTGATACCACGGCCCCACAAAAAACGGCGTTTGGCAACACTTACGTTCTGTTTCGCCGTGCGAATAAGGTTACCAGAGGCCCAATCCTTTAATTACTCAAATCACCTATTCTTAAATCCCTTATAATAACCAGAAAACTACAAAACCAAAGTCCTTTGATATTACGTCATCAAAAAAGTTGGACTGATATGTTTGTACCGCCCCTTCGAAGAGAAAAAGACCAGTCACTTCATAATTTTAAAATGCTATTCATTTTTATTCCAGGTATACAGGATGTACTGGGACTTCTGCCAGGACCGACAGTAGATGAGCTACAGACGTTACAGCCGCGCATGGCGCGTCGTAACTCCATATCGAGCGAAAACTCTTCATCGATGGAAAACCCTCGTGTAATCCTCGTCTTCTTCATCGGTGGTTGCACCTACCAGGAGATATCGGCACTCAGGACCATCAGCCAGCAAGAAGACTCCAACGTAGAGTTTGTCATACTAACCACAAAGTTAATAAATGGAACTACTTTCATAGAATCCCTAATGGAAAATGAATCTACCAAGTAAATCAAAGATAACATGTGTATCTCAATTAATTATTAAGAATTCCATATAATATATTATTATGTTTAAGTTATCCTGTAACTTTGTAATAAGTATACCATATTTAAATATAAATTGTTAAATAATCTTTTAATCCTCATGTTCAGTTATCTTATCACCGCACACGGCATGCATACGGAATAAAATTAAACATGAACCATTCAATCTTGGTTTATTAAAATTTCATATTAATAACTTGCATATAATATAAACTTCAATTTGATCAGTTTTTATTTTTCCGTTTAAATAAACTTACAAAAATCCTGCAGGCTTACCATCTATATATTACAATTTTAAAGCTTTCAGCATAATAAAAATAATTTCGTACACCAACATACTCGTACAATCAAGTGTAATCTAATGACTATTCTCATAAATATTCGTTACTCGTGTATTTTGTGATGTTGGATTTCTTTGGAGGTGGTATGTAGACGCCAAACTTCTTGGCCAGGCTCACCAACTTCTCGTTATCATATCCAACTTCTTCCTTATAACATCTGAGCATTAAAGGCATCACTGTGTCTAAAATAAACTTAAAGTTCTTCTGAGCGTAACTAGAGTCATTGCCTATGGACAGCTTAAGTCGTGAGTTGAATACTGCATAGATGCACTCGTCCAGTACGTCCATCATGTCCTTGGTGACCAGTTGTAGTCCCACCTTTTGAATAGTTATAACAGACTGTGCAAACCATATCGTACTACTAGACAAGTCCACCCAGGTTTCATTTATTATGTACTTAGCTAAGATAAGGCCCAAACTTTCCATCTGTGTCAAGAACTTGCCGACTCCAGCTTTAGTGTGCATATTGACAGGAGTCCACTTGTCCTCTGACACTTTATTCTTCATAGAATCCATCACTTTCTCCCTGTACTCCCTAAGGGCTTTTACTATAGGTGCTCTTAAACAGCTATTCATCTGAAATCTCAAGTCTAGACCAAACTCACAAAATAAGAGGCACTGATCTCGTAAACTCTGCACACAGTCCAACACTGAATCTAGTGCACACTGTGGAGTGAACACTTGTTTGATAATTTGACTCATTAACATTCTAAGTTGCGTGCTAGCCCACACTACAAAAGCACTAATTTTATTCTTAGGAAATAATGTAATGAACTCTGTTAAGGCATCGCTGAGTGAGCAGAAGAACACTTCACCTACTTGCTTTACATAACTATTGATAGACCCTTCTAGCTGGACCCCTTTTACATGCACCTTGACTGTGTGACTGCATATAGCCAGGAACAGCTCACAAGACTGGCTGGTCATGTTGAACTTATTGAGTATGAGTACAGGCTGCCTAGATGACTGCAACCCTCCCCTCGGGCTCCAGTTGTGATTTACATCAAGTTCTTTCAACAATATTTCAATCAAAACTTTCTGCTTCTGTTCAATTCTTTTCAATATATCACTTCTCGATGGGTGGTTCTTGTGTTCTTCAGTGTCTAGTGCCTTCTGTGCAGATACCATCAGTTCATACGTTTTTTGAAAATGTCTCTCAACAATGAGCACATCCAGCTCCTCTGTCACATCAGCCAGCCACTCGGGCAGGGGAGCCAGTTGTGGGGAGGGCAGTTCTTCAACAGAGAGGCTGGGAGACTCCAGTAGCTCTGGTTTAGGCTTATCTTGACTGTCTTTTTTCTTTTGCTTTGATGTTTCTTTTTCAATATGTAGTTTCTTAGCTATGTCAAACTTGTCTAACCAATCTTTCTTAATGGCAAAACTATTACACTGGAACACCCTTGTATCTGGAAATGCCAAAACTTTGAAAGCTTGTTTGACACTTCCCAAGTCTCTTACATTCACTACGGCTAGGGTACTGATAGGATAGCTAGCTTGGAACTTATATCTATTAGGACCTCTACGGTTTGATATCCACGATGTCAACATAAGGCAGTCATTGAATAAATACACATGCATCCTCTGTATGGCTGTGTTCTCTTCAGCATCTATCTCTAACAAGTCACCTTCGTGAAGCACAGTCCGGTCTGGGACATCTAACAAGTTCATACAACCTTCTACTTTCTCAGATATAAGGTTGAGCTTGTTCTTGCGTTGTTCCTCGGCCCGCTCTGCCTCGACGTCGTGGTTGTCGAGAGACTCGCGGGATATAGCGTTCTCGTTACCTAAAATTGACGCGTGGGAGAGAGTCGTGAGCACAGTACGCTGTTCACTTAGCAGGTGGGAGAGCTTGTACATTTCAGCTTCTAGGTGGGATATCTCCGTCGCAGTCTCGATAAACTGCATATAGTTCTCGTACACATTTTTCTTGAGGGCATTAGCGGTCTCGTCGGCCAGCGATTGTATCTTATCCTTCTGTTGTTGGAGCTCCTCCCCTCCGACACAGGATTTGGCCAGCTCCTTCACGTAACGTTCGGGCGCAAAATCAGATACAGCGAACTTCTCCATATTGATGTCGGACATTGTTAAAATAAAGTATTTACAATTTCTAGTCGTAATTAATAGTTAAAAACACTGGCTCACTCATCATTCGATAATCGAACGACAGGACGTATCAACCCATCAAATCCAAATGTCAAATTTACGTTCCGTTATTATTAGTGGTATTGGTAGGCGTTTACATAATTAACGTTTAGTTACGAGTCGTGCATGCGTCTTTTCTTTGTTTTTATTAATAAAGTTGATGCTAACTATTTTAGCAATAATTTTTTACCTAAAATAATTAATAATCTATGAAAATGTTATAATTTTATTTAATACGAAAAAACTATTGAGCTATAACGTAAAAAATATTATATAGAATACAAAAAACTCCAAACTGAAATCATCATCATCATCATCAATCATCTGCAAGACTTGTCACAGTTTTCTACAGTCAAATATCCGCGCTGGATTTGAAAATCTTGCAATCTGAAATCATGGCTGTCTATTCATTGCAGTAACGTTCCTGTAAAATGAAAGGAGTTGGTTAGTTATATCGGTTTGGTACAATGCGAGACCAAACTTCAAACTTTCTAGCACAACGCGATCGAAACAAAACCTTCTACCAAGTGCCACCACCTTTATCAGATTTTTCCATCCGTATGTACAAGAGCAGTTAGAGAAGACATGGTTGGAGAGGGTTGGAGGTAGATCATTGTGTTTACAAGTTTCCTATGAGCCTCGGCAACTTTAAGTGCAAATTATTTTCATTTAAAATTGTTGAGTCCCAATGGTGCCAATGTTTGATAGCGGTACTACAATACGAGCAGTCCGCCGAGTGTAGACTCTGGCAATACGAACATAACACTGTTAGATAATTTAGGTTAATGTCTCATTGTTGTGGAATGTAGAACAAATTTGCGGGCGTTCGGGCGTTTTTGCCTTACCCTATTATTACTGTGCCTTAAGGTATGAACCTTAGTCATTCTGTATCCTGCATTAAATTTACCCAGGGAAGTGGAAACTATTTCATTTTTATTCCCCTCAAATAATATAAGCGCGGTGGCTGGGCAACTGGCTGCCGTGCGACGTGTCGCGGGTTCGATTCCCGCACGTAACAACACTTTGCGTGATCTACATATTGTTGTTTGGGGTCTGGGTGTGATGTGTTTGTGAAATTGTAGTCACAGTCCGTAAGGGCCTGACACTCCCTCTCGCCTTAACCTGGGCGAAGTCCGAAGACTTTACCCCTCACAAAAAAACACATGTGAAACACTGTCGATTCTTTTTTATTTTACTGATAAAAGCTGAAAGTCTAGGATTTAGTGAAACCAACAATTAATTATTATACAATACCAATTCCTTGTTTTGAGTTTTTTCTTTGTTACAAGAAATAAATGTCATTCACTGGTGCCGTTGTGATACTTAAGTATCAATTTCCGTTTCGTATTTTCAGTTTTTTTTGCATAATCGACTAAAGGGTCGAGTTTCAGGCGTCTATTTGTGCTTTTAAGTTGGTTTCGCTTCATCAAATGAAGCCCAAAAAGCGACGTATTTCTACGTCGCTTTTTAAATTCCTTGTTATTATTAACAGGCTGTACATGCACTTCTCTTAGAGGTCAATGCAAGAAAGGTATCTACTGAATATCGCGTTATCATTTTATCACATGATGGTCAATATGGTAGGCACCGATAATTATATATACCTAATTATGTGTATTAATATAGCTCTCGTCCTGGAGCAGGAAAAGGAACGAGGAGGTTTTAGTCAGTAAGAGTCTGACACTCTTTCTCGCCATACCCTGGGCGAGTGAAGTCATTTGATCATTTCCATTTGATGAGTTGTATTTTAAGTGTATTATTATACCTAACAATCGACAGAAGTATCTATTTAAAACAAAAATAAAACAGTCATATAGTAAATAAAAAAAGTTTAATAATAACATTTGGATTATAAAATAATACCTTCTTAATTAATCTTAAAGCTATCTAAAAGCCGTTATGCGCTAGGCGGACGGCGTGAGGAAACTGTCCTCCCTCAGGCCCCAGCAGCCACAGGACACACGAGCTCCGGCCGCCGCCATAAATAACCATCAGACCAGCACAGACGGGGCTGATGTCCAGCTAGTGTACCGGGTCCCAGCTTCAAAATGTGCCACCGCGCTGTCGATCCAGCGGAGCAGGACAAGGAACAGGGTGATTTTTAATCAGTAAGAATTTGACACTATAAATGAAAAAGACCTTATAATAAAACCCAAGTCAGTGGGCTATGGAGTGGAGAGCCAGCGAAACAGCAAGCTGGATCGGACGGGGCACGTAGCTTGGAGAACCGACGCTTGAATAAAAAGGCCCATTTTTTATATTATTTTGAAAATCGATAACTTCCACCACACCCTTGCCTACAAGGAGTCAATAATAATGCAACTTTGCTGTGTTACACGTATTTGAGCGAAGTTTTTCACGTAATTCTGTCAATTCTGATTTAAACTTGTTACTGTATAGTTGAGGAAAACATAAGGACACGAGTAAATAGTTGGGAATAAAGTTTTCATCAACCAACATATACTTCAGAGTATCCACAATATAATCATACATTTTTAATGACAATATTTGAAACATGTTTTGAAAAGCACTCCCGAATACATTGTATATCGTTGGACCGTATTGCTTGCAGTCTTCTTTCAAAAATAGTACTACTTTTGGTCCTAGATACGGTGATATTTTTTTATTAATGTCTTCCCATACTTCTAGCGGTTCATTATCCATATAGGCATAAGCTATTTCACCAGAGTCATGAAACTGTGACCTTTTAAAATTACTCAATTTAAATGCATTTGATACAGTTTCGTGTTCTTCCATTAATTTTACATATTCAGTCACAAGCTTCCAGCTGGTGATGAGAACGTAGTTTTTTATTATAGGCAAGCCATCCTGCATTGTCTTTAAGATTTCTGCAAAGAGTTTTGTAGGTATAGGTACCTTATTCAAACTAAAGTAAACAATAAAATACCAGCCTAAACAATTCAAAAACATCTTAAACTGTTTTCGTACATAAAATGACCCTGAACGATTATGATCCCAACATTGAAAAGCTTCTTCCATTGCTGGACGCAAAACTCTATTAAATCTTAGAAGCTGTTGTTCTTCGCTCTTACCACATAAAACGTAACATGCAAACGAGTTTATATATTCACTGTCATGCGCACAGAATTTGGTACCTGCTGGCGACAGTAATTCATTTGCGACAAAATCCTCGTCAAGTCTTTCCATTATTTTTGGTACATGTATGAATATTTGGTTAAATAAATATGAATCCTTATCGATTGAGTCAGATAAAGAAGATAAAATATTGTAACTTTTCATGAAAAAATCTCCCTGTACACTGACGGGAATATCGTCAACGTGAATTAATTTTCTATAAATACATCTACTTTTTTCAAAACTTTTGTCGTCTAAAAATAAACTCAGTAATTTCCAAAGACATTTTTCCTTGCACTCATTCTTAATATTACAAAGTTTTTTATATGTGCGTAGGAAAATGATGGATCTAATAGACGGATTCTTTGTGGTGTTCCAGATTTTTGAAACTATGTCTATCATATCATTAATCTCAAACTTAAAAAATATTTGTCGTATTCCAAATTTTTGTAACGATACTGGAGCGTCCAATAACTTGGGTAAATATTCACGGTTCTCAACGTCACTGATATTATGCAGAACAACACTCAACGACGGCACAGCATACTGTAAGAAATCACCTTTAGCATACCACAACACCGCGTCCAAGGATACAAGCGGCCGTGCTATGTGTAGATGTTTTGCAATATTTTTCTGTATATTAATTTCGGTTTGATTAGCGTCACTCCAATTTATTTTGAAACTGGCAGGAATATATTTCTTTCCCAGTTGTATTACTTGGTCGATAGGAGATAGTAGAATGACACCTTCAATTATAGATTTTTGTCCAGTAGGTTCATTCAAACTTTGCATGTAAGCCTCTGTCCAGTGCTGGGCGAGTGTGTCCGGCCAGTAGACGCGCAGCTTCGCGAGCACACGTCGCAGTGAGACCGCGTCGTTAGTTCTCAACGTGTGTATCTGTTTGTCGTGTCGCGTCAGCAGCTGTGGTTTGTGCTTCAGAGCGTTCAGGCATGTTTCCTCGCACAGTGATAGTGACAGCGCCTCTTCAAACATGTATTTGCGCCACGATTTGTTCACATTGTATAAGTTAGTCAAGTTTGTGTTCCAGTTATTCTCATCCTTTATTTTTGTTAACTCTTGTATTTTTTCGAGTACAAAGGGATAATCAGTGATGGTTTTATTCCAATCATTCAACAACAACATTACATTCCCTAGCTCTCGCAAATTTATATCTAATTGGGACTCGTTTGTTATATTTTCAGGTTTAATTTTTGACCATGTAGAGTTTAGGATGTAAGTGAATAATTTGTTTTGTTGTTCCTCATTTAACGCGTTTCTCTTGTTTCGAAAAGTATTAAATGATTGTTTTTGTTCCACTATTTCTGGTACTGGCTCATCGTGTATAACATTGTACAGTATTATGGCTTCAAGACAATGTCGGACGTCGTTATTTGATTCGACGTATACTTCCATACTATGAAACAATTGATTTAAATAATTCCAAGTTTCAACGTCGTACTCGTGCGTTGATACATTCGACAACAGAGCGTTAACGAACTGAATCTTATATTTGTAGGGTTCATTGATGTGTTTTTCATAATAATACTTCAGTAATGCCTTAATATAATCCGGATTTTTTCTAGCGCTACTAATTAAGATTGTGAGGATGGAACACCGATCTGCCGGTAAGTTTTGCTTCCGGATAAGATTCTTTAATTCAGAAAACGCAACATCAAATGGAAGAAACTCATACCACTGATAAGTATTGGTCTCCTCTAAAAATTTACGTATACTTTGATCGGTTATAATATCAAATTCAGTTTTATCGATTAAAGTTTTCTTAACAAATTCAAACCTATCATCTTTTTCCATATTGTTGAGGAAGTATCGCCATGTTTCTATTTGGGTAAACATATACTGCGTTGCTTTGCATAGAAACGTTTTAATTTCATTTTTCGGTAAATATTTCGCAAATTCAGATAAGTCAAGGGATCCGTAGTATTTATCAAACTCGTCGAAGACTTTTTGTGGATATTTTTTCATTATGATTTTTGTCCTTTTTCTATTTAGACTGGGCATATAATGATATTTATCCTCTTCAAAAATTTTTATGACATCTTCAGTGTGTGATTTTAACATGAATAATACGTGTTCTTGTACACTCCTAAACCGAGATTCAGCGCGTGATTGGTATGAAAGAAAGTGAGCAGATCTCTTGCACAGACGTTTGAATACCGATACTGGTACACGACGTTCGTTTTTGATGACATTTTCAATAAAAGGTATGGAGCAGTGTTGGAGCCATTTACACGCGTCGTCTGTTTCTTTAAGGTATTCATAAAAGGTTTCGACTCGACTTTCATCTTTCAGATTAAGTCTGATGTGAAGCATGAGTTTGTTAAATGCTTTGGTGGTCATGTAAGGCTTTAGTTGTGTGTGTAGGTACTCAGGGTTGATGATGTTTGCGTACTGCGGGTCAGTGATTAACCACGTGGACTTTTTAATAGCCGTCGATGCGTACAGCATGTCTTTGGATTTCATTACTTCGATAACGTAGTCTACATTTTTGTTTTTACACGCAATTTCTATTTTCAGAAGATTGTCTAAATCACTGTCTGTATAATTAATTGGTGTTAGACCATAATGCTTGCTAGCGACCGCGTCTGCCACGAGGTTGTTGAAAAGCTGGCGCTTCTTGCCGAGTGTATCGCCTTCTAACGTTAAACGCGTCATGATGACCACCTGGAAATAAAGAAAAAAAAAATTACTAGTAACCAAATAATAAGTCGTAATTAAAACCTAAAATATTGTGAAAAACTAACAACCTCTTTTTACAAGAAACAGAGGCAAATGCAACTGACTGATGTGCCGCGGATTTTATTCCCGCATGGAACATCTCTTAGTGTGTCCACAATCCACAGATTGTTTGTTATTTCTGGGTTGGCTGTTGTTGGTTGTTTCTGAGTGAATGTCCAGACGGTGTTCGGGTATCAGCGCAATAATGTATGTGGCTCTGACTCGATGCAAGAGAAAAACGGGGTATATATATCATCAAGGTGGCTTTTTGAGAGGGGAAACATATTCAACGACTTCTCCCACCCTATATCAGACTGTTCCTGACTAAAAACTGCCCTGTTCCTACTCCTGCTGGCTGTGGTCGCTGACCATCAAGTTGGCTAAGATCTGAGTCTCTCGCGGAGTGACGTTATCTGCAAGATAGCTGGCCGTGGCTAGATATAAAACCTGTAGTAGACGGAAGCAGGCTGATGACGACGACGATGCAACATTCCTATCAGTTGCAATTAAGATACTTGTCGAATGTATATGAAGGTAATCCTTACAAGGAAGATCATTAAGATTGATTCGATGCCTCGATGCTATCCACAGAATAATCTAATAATTTACAGAAAATCCTGTGATTTCCCGGTCTTATCTTTATGTGTCCTCGAACGTGGAGTTTATAAAGGGACTTGTGCCAATCAGTAACTTATCAGTAGATACTTATCCATTTTACTTATTACATTTCGAAGGTTTTCTATATATAGCATTTATAGCGATATTGATTTACTATAATCGTAAAATTATAGAATATCAAGAATACTGTTTATTATTGAAGCTGACGATTGGCTAATCGATTATTATCGAATCTAAGGTGTGCACTCATTCCATCGGGCAACCGAGTATCGATTATTTTACATATCACAGTTTTTTTTATATAAAAATGTGACTGACTTGTACCTAACGACCTAACGTCACATCACACACGGGAGTGTCAGACTCTTACTAACTAAAAACCCTCGGTTCCATCCACTGGTCCAGACCGAGGCTTTTTTGTGGACGTAAAATCATCATATGACTTCTCTCGCCCAGAGTAGAGGAGAGGATAGTGTCAGACTCTTTCTGATTAAAAACCCTCCGTTCCTTCTCCTGCTAAAAGCCGAGGCTGAGGTACCTTCTTGCGCATGCTTCGCAACCCCGGCTGACGTGTAGAATACATTTAGAAATAATGTATATACCTAAGTAAAATATTAATTTTTTTTTTGACAAAAAAACCAACATTCTAACCTTAGTGTAATGTAGTGTACCTACTTCAATGTCAAAATAGTAAAGGGCAATGCAAGAGGATTAAAATTTTTTGATAAGACTAAGCGTTTCTTGACTGTCTCCCATGGTTACTTTGGAGTGACAATGGTTGAGCTGCATGTTGATTCATCATTATTCATTCTTTCAATATATGCCAATATAAGAGGGATTGCAATAATCTACACCTTTACTTACAGTCAATGCAACCACAAAATCATAAATAAAAATGTCCTTGAATGGTTTAAAACAGTTTTAATCATTACAAAAACAATTGTAGCTTATCTTCTAAAATAGTCGATAATTAATTAGGTAGATAGCAACATAATCAAATTTAGTACAGTCAAAAACTAACAAAATATAAGCACAAAAAATGCATTAAACGAAAACGTGCATTCTTAATCTTCCGAATATTCCCAAAAATCGTTATAAATATGTATTTGTACAAATGGCGATGAATTTAATTTAAGTTTTTTGATTAATTCTGTTTGTAAATGCTTTGCTTCATCGCGGGGTTCTTTCGGCACCACCTTAGAGACAACTAGATATGCTAGATCAAAATCTTCGTCATTTAAGATGTGTCTGAGAATTTCTAGTTTCATTTCATCATTATTAATACGTAACATTTCAAGAGCTTTTTCTAAAGCGTTTGCGAAACAGTGATGTACTATTGGACCGTATTCATTACAGTCTTCCTTTAAGTGTCGTACTATTGCTTTACCGAATGATGGAAATAGTTTTATGTCATCATATTGGTAATAATTGTGGGTTTCAAGACCAATGAATTCGTTTAATAATGTAACGTACGTTGTTACCAGTTTCCAGCTAGTAAATTTTACATAGTTTTCTGATACAGATAAATCATTTTCTATTTTGGTACATATTTCCGTAAAAACCTTCACCGGTATAGGCAAATTAAAATTTCTTTTAAAGTATTCAATGAAATGATAAACCATTTTTGATAAAAAGTCGTCAAAATTTCTTTGGGAACCCTCGCCTGATTCGATAGTATCCCAATTCTTAAACATTTCGTCAATTACGGATATGATCTTCCTAAACCTCTGAACTTGATTTTCTTCATTTCGACCACATAATATGAAACACGCAAGGGATGGTAAATACTGATTTCCGTGCCACGACGTATCGAATTTTGATACTGCTTGAGACAATAACTTGTAGGCGACAAAGTCCTCGTCTAAGAACTCCATTACTGTAGGTGTATAGGACAGTAAGTTATTTACATACTTTTTACAGTCGGCACTCTCAGGCAATGAAGATAAATACTCATAACTCTTCATATAATACTCTCCTCGTATACTGACAGGGATATTTGCGACCTCACTTAGCTTTTTATAAATCCCGGTGCTTTCTTCTGATTTTAAGTTATCTATAAATATTTTTAGTAACTGCCATAAATCTTTTTCAGTAGTTTCATGTTTGACTGTACATATTTGATCGTAGGTGTGTTCAAAAATAACGCTTCTGATTGAAGAATTATTTGAAGATTTCCAAACATTGGAAAATATGATTTTTAGGTCATTGGGTTTGAATTTCTGGAATGCAAGATGAAGGCCAAATTTTTGTAAGGAGACTGGAGCATCTAAAAGTTTTGGTAAATATTCCTGACTCTCTACTACGTTTAAATTGGGTATCATTGCGTTGAGCGACGGCACAGCATACTGTAAGTAATCACCTTTAGCAAACCATAACACTGTATCTAAAGGTACAAATGGTCTGACTATGTGCAAATGATTCGCAATATTTTTTCGCATGATAATGTCAATCTGGTCAGTGTCGCCCCAGTTTATGTCGAAATCGTTTGGAACATATTTTTTCGACAGTTTTACCACTTCATTTGCAGCAAGAAGTACAAAGAGACCTTTAATAACAGCTTTTTGTCCAGTAGGTTCATTTAAACTTTGCATGTAAGCCTCTGTCCAGTGCCGGGCGAGTGAGTCTGGCCAGTAAACGCGCAGCTTGGCGAGCACACGGCGCAGTGAGACCGCGTCGTTAGTTCGCAACGTGTGTATTTGATTGTCGTGACGCGTCAGCAGCTGTGGCTTGTGCTTCAGAGCATTCAGGCATGTTTCCTCGCACAATGAGAGTGATAGGGACACTTCAAACAAGTACTTGCGCCACGATTTGTTCATATTGTATAAATGTGCCAAATCTGTAGTCCAATTCATTTCTTCTTTTATCTGAATTAGTTTTTGAATTTGTTCGTGCACAACTGGGTAATCAGAGAGTGCTTTTTTCCAATCTTTCAATAACGTAAACATATTCTCTAAAATGTTTACTATGTCCTTGTAATCAGATTCATTCACACATAGTTTGTGTTTTATATTTTCTATTAAGGAATTAAAGATATACGTAAACAACTTAAGTTTTTGTTTTTCATTCAAAGTCTTAAAAATATTTTTAAAAGAAGTAAATGTGCATTTTTGCTTTATGATTTCTGGTACAGGTTCGTCGTTCAAAACTTTACGTAAGATAATAGATTCACGGCACAGTTGTACATCGTTCTCTGTTTCAGTGTATACATCCATACTGTGAAATAGCTGGTCCAAAATGTTCCATGTCGCCTCATCTAACTTATGAGGAGATACGTTTAGAAGCAAATCATTTATGAACTTTATTTTGAATTTAAAAGGAACATTAATCTGTTTCTCTAAAACATATGTAAGCAACATATTAACATGTTCTGCGTTATTTTTTGCATTGCTAATCAAAACTGAAAGCATGTCACAACGCTCAGACGGCGAGTTTTGTTTAAGTATAAGGTTTTTTATTTTGGTAAAGGCAATATCAAATGGAAAGAACTCATACCACTGATAATAACGAAAAACGGCGTCAAACCATTTCATATCACCTTCTTCAAATATCATTTCAGTTCTGTCAATAAAAGCTTTCCTTATAAACTCTATCCTTTCTTTTTCGTCCATTTTTCTTATGAATTCCATAAATTTCTTGTCTTCATAATAGAAAGCTAATTCGGTTGCATTTTGGTATAGGAATGCTTCTATTTCACTTTTTTTTACATGTTTTACGAGCATAGAGTTGTCGAGTGATGTGCTGTATTTTTTGAAATTGTTGAATATTCTATCTGGGCATTTTCTTAAAAGAAATTTTGTTCTCTTTTTGCCCAAATCTGGGGCGCGTGATACTTCTTCGCCTTCGAATATATTTAGGACTTCTTCAGTATGAGACTTTAACATAAATAGGACTAAATTTCCTCGCTCGTATGGGTATATCTGAACACGATTATTATATGCTAGAAAATTATCAGATCTATTACATAAGCGTTCGAAGAGCCACTTCGGAACGAGGCGTTCGTTTTGTATAACATTTTCAATAAAAGGTATAGAACAGTTCTGAAGCCATTTGCATGCGTTTTCTGTTTCTTTAAAATATTCATAGAAGGTTTCGACTCGACTTTCATCTTTCAGATTGAGTCTGATGTGAAGCATGAGTTTGTTAAATGCTTTGGTGGTCATGTAAGGCTTTAGTTGTGTGTGTAGGTACTCAGGGTTGATGATGTTTGCGTACTGCGGGTCTGTGATTAGCCACGTGGACTTTTTAATAGCTGTCGATGCGTACAGCATGTCTTTGGATTTCATTACTTCGATGACGTAGTCTACATTTCTGTTTTTACAAGCGATTTCTATTTTCAGAAGATTATTTATGTCGCTATCTGTGTCACTAATCGGCGTTAGTTCATAATGTTTACTAGCGACTGCGTCTGCGACAAGTTTGTTGAAGTTTCGGCGCTTCTCGCCGAGTGTCTCTCCTTCTAGCGTCAATGGCGGCATGGTGGTAAGCTGCAAACGTAATATTTTATGTTACATTCTTTTTCACTTTGGCTAGTCCTAGATTTAATAGGCGAGTACTTCTAGTCAAAGACGCTCTAGAAAGATAGGATAAAGGACACTCTAATAAAGTGTTACACACAGTTACAGTACAGATCGATGTAATAAAACCCGAGAGCGAGACACGGAGATGTCAAAATATTTTTTGGTAAATGTTCTTTCTGCACCAATATTTTTTACAATATTTAGTTTTGATTTCATTAAAAAAAATAACTGAGTGTTGTAGGGTCAAAAATCATCAATAAGATGTTTGTGTAAATCTATTTTATACGATTTAAAATGCCTCTGAGTTTCATGTCTCGTATAAAACACTAATGTAAGTGGTTTGTTAAGTTAACCAGATGCCAGAGAAAGGCAGGTACATCAGGCGGCGGCCGACCTGGTAGCATGAACGGTTGCGATGGTCTTTGCTTAGAGTTGGGACTAGATATGGCGCTCCATTGGTCCGAGACCATGTCATTGTGTTTTAACATCGGTCGGAACGCGCTACAGGAAGGTTACCAACGATTTTTTAATGCCAGTAAAAGTTCAGGATCTAGTTTGGTTACGAGCTGCGCTGCAGCTGGTGGTAGGGTGCGCAAAGAAGGAGGCGGAGCGCGTGAGAGGAATATTCTCTTTCAACCAGCTGCCACAGCAGGCGACACTCCGGGCGTCGGGGTCGAGGTACGATATACAGCCACCGTAAACACGGGTCTGCGGTCGGCGAGCAAGGTTACTCGCCGCCCAATCAGAACCAGGCCCGAGTGTGCGACGCGTAGCGTTCCGCTCGCGCCTAAAGCATCCAGTAGACCACCACACATAGCCAATGCTTTGCCGGGGTCGCGGGTCAAGCGCAATAAAGTACCGCGGCCTCGGCCTTGAGCAGGTGAACAAATGGGAGGGGGGAGGGTTGGTCAATAAAAGTCTAGTACTCTCTCTCGCCATACTCTGGGCGAGAGAAGTCATTCGATGATCATCCCTCCACAAAAAAGAGGGCCAAAGACCTGCCGAAACTTGTTCTGGTACATTTGATGCAATGTCCGAAGAGTGAATCCTTCTGTGAGTCTGCGTGAATATGAGTGAGTCCATAACCAGTAGCTTCAGTTGTTATATCATTAGTTTAGTACCTACACCATACAATTATCTCTCAGGGCTGTGATAGGATAGTGTGGTAGCTAAGGTTTAGGCTGCAACACGCCGCGTGTAACCAATTTTAACTCTGTTTGGAACCGCGGCACTACTTGCAAATATATCTTTCCCCGCTGACCGTACTAGTATAGGTGGAACTGTGAACTACTAATTTTTGGTACCAATTTGAGGTAGTGTCGAAAAGTCGTTGCAATATTTCGCTTGCTAGTGTAGGATTCCATCTAACTGCAGCCAAAAAAAAAAATTCACGGTGTAGGTATAGGTATACCGTGACTCACACACAATACATGGTCTATAGATGGGTGCAAGTACTGAACCTTTGGGTACACTGGCAATGATGGGATATTGTTTTGAAGGGGAAAAATCATTAAAACCTTTTTTTGGCAGCAGGTGTGGCAAGAGGGAGGATGGTTCCCTCACGCGCTATACCTCCTTCTTTGCCAGCATACTGCTTCGAAGAAAGAGAAGGATCGCTTCGCGCCATGGCCTCGGCTAAGACCAGTCGCGAGAGGTCGCGTCGCGGATCACTTCGCTAGGGACATGGTGGCACTCAGACTCAACACCTACAGTGAATACTCCTACCGTTATTCGGGACATGAAAGCACATTGGCTCGGAGCTTCGGACTTGTGGAGCGCCGTGCGCCACCTGTAGTCCCAGCTGTAGCCCCTTTGTAACCACAAGGAAAATCTGACTAAAATTGTCTAAGAGAAGAAACTCCCAGATATAAAATACTGTGAGTGCCAATTTTTTGTCGATTTTACAAAGCAGACCTTTGTGCCATACTGAATGCCCGTTCGTTGAACACCTAAGAGTGATGCAGAGCGCTATTTTTTTTTTTTTAATTTTCTGATTATTTCTTATTTAGCAGTATGAGGACAAATAGGTACCTAATACAAAAAAAATATTGTCTCATAATACATATATTACAGTAGTCGCGGTGTATCTGCTCAGCGGTTGAGTGTACCTCACGGGAGCCATATTCATAACCGGGAAAACTTTGTTTCTTATTACTTAATACTTTTTCGATATAATAGTGCAAAACATGTGACGTCACACTAGGGGCTCTAAATCCACCTTTGACAAGGAAGGGAATTCACGTGACGTTCTTTAGGGATGGCCCCTAATATGCATGTAAAAATAAAGACGTATAATTTTTATAATGAATAAAAAATGTCGTGGTTGCCCGTAGGCTAAGGATCTTCTCACGCATGAGAATGTTGGTTCGAAGCCTGGCAAGTACCAATGTGACTTTTTCCGAGTTATATGTATTTTCTATGATTATTTAGACACCACTGACATACGGTGAAGGTTAACACCGTGATGAAATCTGGACTTACTATTTCTATTTATAAGTTTAAAATCGCCAACCCGCATTGAGCAAGCATGGTGATCAATGCTCTAACCTTCTCCGTATGAGAAGAGGCCTTTGGTCAGCAGTGGGTACTAGGCTGATGATGTTTTTTTTATTTCAAAATCAGAATACAACTAGTCAGTTATTTTTCAATAACTGACTATTTTAATTTTGTTTAATGAAATTAAAATTATTTAAAATTAAGTATTTTTTAAAGTTTTCAGTTCCTAGTAAGATTGTGTCTATGATCGTTTTTAATATTTTTTTGTGGAAAACTTCGCTCCACATCTGCTGTACAGAAGCACATATTTGCTTTTATATTGAATTTGTAATAATCTTATTAGTTAAACTTGCATAGTTAATTGTTTTTGATATTCCAATCAAAGAAAACTTTCTTTCTAAGAACATTACACACAGGCCCGTAGGCTAAATACACTGATATTTCATGCCAAGTGCTGAGCTGTGAGCCTGAGTGAGGGTTCGAAACTTGGCAAGTAACAATGTGACTTTTTCGAAGGTATATGTAGTTTTTCTTACTAGTACCATAAATTTATTCAGAATCCATTGACAAACGGTGCAGGAATCATTGATAGGAAACCTGGACTTTTTAATTTCTAATTAATTAAAAGTTTGAAATAACCAATCCGCCTTGAGTAAGCATGGTGATTCATGCTGAAACTTTCTCTGTGTGAGAAGAAGCCTTTTCATTTCATTTACTTAAACTTTCAAGTCTTGATAGGGACCACCATTGAGGTTTTATTCCAAACAATCACTATATGCTAGCTGCTTTATCAGTATTACAGAAAGAAAATTAAGAAAAATATTTTAGGTAAGTAGAGGAAAAAAGTATTTAAAAAGGTTTAAGTAACAATTTATCACAGATAAATATTTTTTTATCTAATAAATTGTGTGTAACAATGATGACTTGTATTACTTAACAGGAAAAAATTACAATTGTTTTACAAAAACATATTTGGATAATGTATGTACCAACAAGGTGTATCTCTTGTAATCAATAATATCAATCTGTTTTAAAACAAGATTATCACTGAATAAAAATAATTTATTGACCTATATTATTAACTAGCACCCAGCCTGAGCTTTAAATGGATGCAATGCTGATACTGTATTTCTTCACTATTTAATGGATGTTATTATGCACATAGACAAACTTCGTCAATCACTCTATCTATTAAAAAAAACTGCATCAAAATCCATTGCTTATAATTTAAAGATTAAAGCATACATAGGGATATAGGTACAGAAAAAGGGACTTTGTTATATACTATGTAGTGATATAGTTTCATTTCAAGGTTACAAAAAGCGGCATGAATCATAATTCTTTATAATATGATAAAAGTAAATAAAATAAACTAGGTATGCAAGGATTATAAGTTCTGAATACATGTATGTACCTACTTTCTGATAATTTGGAATGTAGTAGGTAAGTACTCGGTGTACTAAGAGGTGTTTTTTTTTAAATAAATGATTCACTTGTAATTATCACACTTTGTGTCAATATAATACCTATGTTCTTGTGAAGTATATCTCAGTGAGTATTATTATAATACTTATTCAGCAAAGATATTTTATTTTAAACAAACAGAATTTAAATAAGTACGTGATTACATCATCAACGTATAACATAACTTAATAAGTTTTTTTATGTACTTACCGTTAAAGTCGCCTGATGTGCTCCACAATCAACATTTATATTCAACCGCTCCAAACCAAAGTAATCAAGAGAATGGAATGGACAACGATATTTTCTGTGTAAAATAAGCTAAGTACTTGATTACAACAGATTACATCAAGTGGTGAAATCCAAATTCAAAATATTTTAAATGACTCAAACAGAACTCAAATGACTAATAGTTGTCTATCGCACTCGGTTGGAGTGTTGTGTTTGCTTCACACTTCACTGTTGCCGGGCTGCAGAAGGAAAACAGGAAAACTGTAAACATTGTATAATACCTTATCCAATTGTAAACTTTATATTACTTGAAATAGAGCACAATTTTGTCTTAGAGCCTTATTTGACTTTGGCCACGGATAAAAAAACTTCATTTGTGTGCGTGTGTCACTGTCATTTTGACGTTTGCCTTTTTTTTTTAATAATGAACCATATTTCTTTGGCTTTGACTAAAATATTCCAAACTGAGCTAAAGCATTAGGTACCATTACGGTACTAATGATAGCCAGTTACAGTAAATGGTATATTAAAATTTTGATGAAGTTGCAAGTGATTAGAGGGAAAGGCTATCTATACCTGTACCTACCTTAGGAACTAATTTAAAAAAATAGGTTATCAATTAATGGGGACTTCTGGAGACTATTGTTTTGGGGTCCACAATTAACACTAGATAGAGTATTTTTTTCTATAATTGTCCCGTAAAACGGGTTGCTCCACACTATCATCACTTCGTTTACTGTGGCTTTTTTTTGAAAGCGGAATACCATTATGTGTCGTTCCTACTTTTACTCAAGGCCAAGGTTTCATGAGAGGAAAGTCATCAAATGTCTTCTCCCGCCCAGGGTCGGGTGGAAGAGAGGTTCAGACACTTACTGACTAAAAACCCTCCCCGTTCCTTCTCCTGCTCTGGGGCGAGGTCATGGTGCTTCATTGCGCTTACCTCGCAACCTCGTCTGAACATCAGCCCTATAGGGCCTCGTCTGTGGTGGTCTATTGGCTCTTTGAGGCGCGGAATTGTCAAATACAAGGTAATACTATTAATGGTGATAAAAGTTTGATACCATGCGACAACTTCATGATCAAGAACTGAGTCAAGTAGGCACTTATAATGCGGCACTTTAGATTCATCAAGCTTAGTATGTATTTCAAAGCAAGTTGCTTGCCTTATTTATGCCTGAAAATATATATTGGTTGCATTTTTGACGGCCATAGTTGACCATCAGGTAATCCCTCTGCTTGTTGGCCAACATATGAGATAAAAATGTATTTAAAAAACAATAAATGTAACCGAGAAAAAAAAACAACAAATAATAGCGATAATTTTATTTGAACTGGCAGTTTTCACTTATTAGTAACCATAATTAATCAACAACATAACAGATTGATCAACGTTTTCAATGAGTCTATTTCACAAATAGAGAGCAACTTCCTTCAACATTTATTGTCTTAGCGTTAACTGGTTAAACACAAGCTTACTTCAAACTTTCAATTCAATATTAGCACGAACATATTGCCTCTTCTTTTTGTTTCCAACGATAGAAAAAGAGAGCAATAATAAATTAATACATCGACGCTTGAAAGGAAAAATCGACTAAGCGACAATTTGGCCGATATTGAGTTATATACATCGTTAGGTTCGCAAAAAAATCCCCCGTCGATTGGTGTTACTCCCATGCTTCTGTGATGACTTTTGATGTCGCTTAGATATCTTTCAGTTTGTTAATTTTTTATAGTTTTCGGTAACCAAGCGACTAAGTTTGTTACCCTTTAAAAAAATAATGCATTTGGGACATTTTTTCATAACTGTTTTTGTACTTAGTAAATTTCACATGACTTCGATTAAAATTATTTTGGTTTTTAGTCTACTTTTACCGATTCCACGAAAAAAAAAAAATTAGTTTAGCAAATTTTACCTCTCAGAAAATTGTTTATATTTTCGGCTTCCGCATTTTTACCCTACCTTAAATATTAGCCATTTGGCATTTAGACATTTTTTACCTGTTCTCATTTACGTAAACATGTCGTTTAGTAATTTATTCCTGCATTTATATTAAATCATACATGGCGCTTAAGAAAATATGACTTGCCGTTTTTTATATTAATATTGGCGCTTAGATATCTTTTGCGGGAAGAAATTTTAATCAAAATTATGGTTGTGCCTCCTGTACGTAGGCTGCGTTGTCGTTTGGACTTGACGCGAATTGATCTTAGTGTGGCTGTTAGTAACAAAACCACAATCACTGTGCGACGAATCGTCGTTTAGTGAGCCCGCGCGTCCCGTTTTCGCGCCACTTGGACACGATCTTTGGTAAGTATTTTTTTAAATATTATTGTAATTTTACTTGCTGTGTATTAATTAAACTATATTTTATTATTATTATTTAAAGCCAATTTTATAAGTGTTAAATAGATATGTATTATTGTTTTAGAATGATGGATCGAAGAAATCGACGTTTGTCCAAGATCATTGACTAAGCTTTGACGAATGCGGGAATATCTGAAGTGGAAGGGAATTTGGTAGCGTTTACCTAATTAAGTACCAATTTATTATTGACTTGTTTGGTGATATGAACTATTATGTTGTTTTTCTTTGTAGGATTCCGTTCCTTCACAAATATTTAGTACAGACG